GGGGAGGGAATCACAAGTACCTACTACTCAACTGAAGAGCAGGAACTCTTTTATTGCTAGATGATGGGGCTTCATACCTTGTAATTTGTCTTTGCAAGGGTAAGATACATAACATGACTAAGAAAACCCTAATGTTTGTAAAGCAGACAGAGGAAGAGAGAGAGATGTCACAATTGCTGGTTATTGCCAAGAAATTCAAAGACATTCTGAATCCAGAACATCAAAACACAGTTTGGAGGTGTCCCAAGGAGTATCTCCTCACAAGAGTAAAAACTGTTTGAAAATGTACTAAGTCAGAGGGAAGAAGCACAAGAATCAATATCAAATTATTGAAGGTTTGGACACAAAGGGAAAGCTGTAGTTCAAGAACAGCAGATGGAGCTGTCGCGTAGCCAAACTGCGCTGCAGGAACATGCAGGGCTGCGCATGGGAGCTGCTGGTTCTCATTCAACAAGTGCTTTCTTTTCACCATCCTTTATAGAACAGGTATGCAAACAAGTAATAAACCCCACAAACTGTGTGAAGTATACTTTACAACTCAAATCACCCAGATATTTTTTAAGCTTTTTTTTTCTTAAGTCAGGTTTCATTAAAAAGTTGAACCAGAACGTTTCTTTTCTACACTTATGCAAAAGGAATAAGACAAAAGCAATGACTTTTGCAAACAGACTTAATTATAATAGACCACAACAGTAAAAGAAAAAAGCAGTTTAGTACACATTTACAATACCTTAACTGCTGGTTAAAAGTAACAATGGTAAAGGTATACTAGCATATATGAGGTTTTTCTAATTACAATTTTCATAATTACAATTATTGCCAGGATGTCAGCAGTAAGTACAAGGTCCTGAGCAACCTAATACGACTTTGAAATTGGCCCTGCGTTGAGTGGGAGGTTGGATCAGATGACATGCAGAGTTCCCTGCCAAAACTAAACTATTCTAGGATTAATCCAAGCCTGTTATACAGCCTAAAGTTTTAAGCTTCTGTAAACAGGACTACCTAGCAAGTTTGGTTAGAAATAAGAATACAGTCATCATCAGCAATACAACAGCAATGTTTTACAAATGAAAGTATGATGCACATAAAACATTCTGTCACAGAAACGGACATTCTGATACTAATAAAAGGAAGGATAAAAATAGAAAAAGGAGTACTGAAAGTAATAAGTTATGAATAAGTTTAAGGGAAACTTTTGTCAGCTGAGGTAGGCAGGATGGGAATACTTGGGAGAGCTGTAACTGTGAGGCAAAAAGCAAGCAACAAAATTTCAGTTCCATGTACAAAAATCTTCATGAACCTTGTTTGATTAAAAAAAGGAATCACCTTGTATTTTCCTGCACATCTTTGGTCCAAAGATTCACAAAGCATTTGGGGAAAATACAGACATACACACAACAGATTGCTTAAGAGGCAGGCAGCTCCCGACGGAAGACTGCAGCCACTACCGAAAGCACAGCTGCTGAGAACTGCACTCACTGAGTTTGATTAAAAACAGCAATAGGCAGCACGAGACGTTGTGCCCAAGAGGCTGATGAGAGCTCCAGACTGAAGGCTCAAGTCAGCAGCTTTGATCCTTTAGCTCAGAGAAACTTTCTACAGTGAAGTGCAGCTCATTGGCTCAGGATGAGGAGCCTTCTCCAGACTGGTCCACTGAACAAACTCACATTGGAAGGAAGGGCCAAAACCCACCTTCCTGCCTTCCGCTTGAAATATATGGCACATGTCTTTGACTTTACCTTATATGTGCACATGTATCGTGCTTTTGTTGAGCTCTCCAAAATGACTTATCTCAGGGTGATTTTTTTTAATGTGCTTTTTTGTTGTTTTGGAAGTCCATTTAAAAATAAAACAAGCAACTCTGCCACACATGTCCCCTGGGGAGGAAACAAAAAACAGCACAGCAGATGTCAGTTATTCTACAGATGTTAGTTTGCTTAATATACTCCTGGAAGTATTCAGGAACTATGGCACTGCGTGAAGTACAAAGACAAAACAGGACATGTGGGCTAAAACCCACTTCCTTCTCAGCAGCATCTTAAGGTCATTAGTGACTATAGAGACAGGACAGCAAACCCAAGCCTTTACCAAAAAAAGACTATAATTCACAGAGTAGCTTCCAATCAAAAGCATTTAATGTCATTCAAGGTAGTAAATCAGCACCTGATGGTTTTATGCTTTTGAGTTTCTGGCAATATTGCAAGTGTCTGAAAGCCTTTCTGTCATGCCTCAAATTTCCTCTGGGCAATAGCTCTATTTTCCCAAACTTGGATATTCCACTTGAAATCAAGTCAGTTGTTTTACTAGTGAGAAGCCAGGGGATTTTAAGAGGCATGCTCCACCCTCCAAGCATTCATGGAGTTGTTTTGAGTGCTCATCCTGTCTGAATTATTTCCTGAGGACAGTAAGATATAGGATAGTCTAGGATATCCTCCTGCGTGAACAGCAGTGTGGGCACTAGCCTCTTTAGGATTTCACCAATGTGCTTCTATTCCTGGTTTTACTCCTGACAGGCTGTGGGACTCTAGTCCAGCTAGCTGTCCCTATTAGTTTTGTTTCCTCTTAATCTTTGCTTCCTCCATTTAAGTTGCAAGTTCATGAGGGCAGGGACTGCCTTGACATCTTTGTACCATCATATTCAAGAGGCCCCAAATTTTATTACAAATACTACTGCATATAAATAAATATTCAAGCTCATACAACCACTGCAGCAATAGAGTACCGCTAAAAAAAAAATATATACTTACACACTATTTATGTCTTTATAGCAGGGGAGACAGAACCGGAAATGAAAGCTAAATAAAAATCAGTTTTAAAAAAGTTTCCCTCCCTGACACTATTCTTGTTGCTTTGTTTCCTCCTATTACACATTTTTGTGTATCATTGCCTGCCAGGACTGAGGCTTCATCTCATCAACAGCTGGTAAGATTCTCTCTCTTTGTCCCTGCTGATTTAGTGCAGAAGAAAAGGAAAGGGGGGAACAAAAAAAAAAGATATGAAAATCAAGGTTAGCTTTGGTTTATCTTTTGCATTTTACGTGCAAGAAATGAGGCATTTGCCTGCTTTCTAGGCTGACACTTGTGCAGGGGGACAGCAAAGATTGAAGGTTAGCACCAGTTTGTTGAAATGCATAATCATTTGATGCTCTGTGGAAGAGCAGGGAGATGTAAACTTCACCTTCTTCCATCAAGCTACATTAACCCACTAACTTGAAAGTCCTACACATAAATAATATAAGAAAATTGGAAGAGATAGACTCTATGTCATCCACACTACCCATAATTCAGAGGTTTTGTTCACTAGATTTCATTTTATCTCATTAATCTGTCACATTTAACAAAACATACAGACATAACAATACTCATGCTTTTTGCCTACTAATTGATTCCAATTTCTATTCTACTAGCAATGGTCTAGCACAACTGTTACCAATTTTTCCTTGGTTGGAATTAGCTTTCAGCCAAACATGCTCCCCAAAACAAATGCAGGCTTAAGATCCTTGTAATGGAGGGATCCCTTCCACTTAGACTATGTCCTTGTGAACACGCTGGTCTTTGACTGGAATCGTGCTTCGTGTATTTTACTGAAGCTTCTTTTACACTGCA